CTATCTATCTATCATTTGCCCTAGGATGTCGACACATTTCTCGGTTGGACGTTATTAGCCTAAATTCCCCACGGCTAAATCAGGCTAAAATATTTTTTAAGATGAGGAAGAAAAGGCAAATCACTAGACACTAACGCTGTGCACACACAAGTACGAGAATGGCCAGCTGGCTCAGCAGTACTTCCGTCGTTGTGACGATTACCTCACGTAGGTATCTCTAAATCGGACACAGAACCAAACACAAGGTTACCTTTTCAAAGGTGATTTATCTATTACTTATAGAAATTAATTGGTATTATTCGTCGTTGGACACGTACCAGTAGGCGGTGAGGCAGTTGTTACTTCGACGAGTGAAGTAGCGATAGTACGTTTTGCTGAAGTGGTAAATCATAATCCCCCATTCTAGGCCGAAATTTTTGGAACTATCAACTATAGAATTTGTGTGCCAGAAGCGGACCGTCAGATTGAAATCAGTTATGTCGCCCTACAGTCATTCAAGATGTATTACGAAACATTTATGAACTGGATTTTCCGATTATTCATTCAGTAATAAAATGAATTTAACGTAGGTCCATTCCGATCTATATTTTAGAGTCGCTGAAAAAAACTTCTCCATGGAAGGCACCAATTTACTGGACGGATAATATGGCATGCTATCAATTATACAGTCGGTTCCGAATCCAACTTTTCTCACATAGTCATTTAACTTAAAAGTACCTTATAGATGTAAACGACTTTCCATTTAAACGAAAATCTAATTTTTATTTCAACCAGATCTGAATTCGTGTATATATATCGCGTACGAGTAAAAATATATATATTTTTTTTACTCGTACGTGAGCTGTTGTAAAAGATAGAAAAAAAAATATACATGCAATATATAGAAGACACATGGTATTAGTAGTACGTTCTATGCGCAAGATCACATTAAGCTAGAACGCAGTGTTCCATCTAACGATCCATATACCACCATCTGTGTGGTATATAAAGAATACGAACTGTGATATTGTCGGCGTCAATCGTTTATGTCGTCGGGCGCCTCGGAAGTACCATCGAGAAAGGCTAGCTACAAAGACATCGAATACTGAATAGATCTTCTAGCAGCGTTTAATTTATAGTTTATATGTTCTGTAGGAATTTTTTTGCTATTTTTTTTTTTATGTGAAATTGTATTTTTCCGACGCAGAAAAGTATGAAATGAACGCAGTAAAGGATGTTCGTTACATTTAATATAGCAGCATAATGCAAATACACTTTATGCATCTTTACCTTTTTTTTTTCTATCACAACCATCTTATCGCTATTTGGATCGAGGGCGAAGAAAACGTGAATCGCGAAAAAGCCATTGATGGAAAGCTTCTTATACCCAATTTTTCTTAGTTTTCTTACGCTGACGTTGTCTTCCTTGCAACATAGTTAGCCAATACCCGCGAACAATTGTTTCTTATTTACAAATTGAATGGAGCAAAGCGGTAACCATTAAGGAAGTCCTCATCCCTGCTAGCACAGTTTGTATGATAGTTTTCGAAAAAGTTCACACCTTAGATTCAATTCCGTGCAGTTGAACAGATTTAAACATGGAATAAAATATAGCTAAATGGCGCCCATTCTAATATGCGTTTACAAGAACAACTCCTTACTTATATCACATAATTCAGCTTACTTTTATACATATACTAGCACTGTATATTTGTCTACGTTGCCGCTAGACTCAAACTCTGCCAAAAACAGGATCGTTATTTCCTCAGCTCGTGTAGACGGCCTTACATATACGGAATTAGAAAACCTTTCTGTGACAGATTGGAGGTCTGTCAGAGCACTCTGGCATGATTCCGCTTTCCAACAACTCGGTGGAACTCTGCGGGAATCTCGTTCACTAGCGAAAATGGCGATAGTGTCGATTGCCTATCCATATATGTATTTGGGCGTACGCTTTCAGCCACCAGTCACCACCTATAGAAATGTCCACGGTCCAATTCCTTTATTCATGTTGCCTATAGGATGAAAAAATAGGTCAGCTCCACCATATCTTTATGCCAACCAACATCGCTCCCAGTGCCCACCCAGCATCTGCGGTCAAGTCGGCTAAACGTATAGCGCTCGGTGCCAACTGGTGGGAGCACCTATCGCTTAACGCATACTATGCATCAACAAAGTGCAGCGAGTATAGTTCTGGCATCGCAGCACCTGTCTATTTGGGCACAAATTTGTTTTCTGCACGTCGAATTAACGGCGATAATTCAGGCTTGTCCATAACGCTCTGCCATACCGAGTTTTGGGTAAGGGGTTATAGGAACTTTCGACCCGCAGGCAGAAACTGTTTAGATTGGAAGAGTTTGACTTGTGCTTGCTCCAAAGTTCGCACTAAAGTAGAGTGAAGAGTGGAGGCATTGGGGAATAGCAAGCTCTATGGAGACGAGGGCTCGGATCGTTGGGGGCCAACTCACTCGTTTAGAGCCACAGCAAGCAATCATCTCGTCATGGCTGCGTCATAATTACAGGATGCGTTGACACGTTGTGATGCGAAGACGATAGGAGAAGGAAGCGCAGAACTAGCATCCGTATAGTCGGCTAGGCTCTTCAACCTTTGGCCTTTGAAAGGAGAGGTTCGGGGTTTCAGGCTTTCGGCGGAGGGCTGACGTTTCTGACGCTGTAATTACCGTGGCTCCTGCCAGGCCCGTAAAGTCCACTCGCTACTAACCAGTTCGATCGATGTCACCGTAGGTAAAGCGCATTATTTACGAGATGCAACTACAACTAAGTTGAACCGGCCATTAGGAAGGCAATTGTCGAATCCAAGTAGTTATTGAGTCAGAGAGGGATTAACGATACAAAATCGAGGGCTAACAAAAAAAAATGTTTTTACCACTTCCTCAAAAAGTCCATGTCAGACAATTGGGTGGATGAAACGCAGGAAATAAACCTGCTTCAAAGTACGTGCCGTGTAAGGGTATCCACACCGAGTCACTGCTCTTCTAGATGGTATGGATCTTGCTTTGGGTAGAGGGCAAATTCGGGTGAAACGGAAATGCAAAGGGTAAAGGAGCCAAGAGCTGAAAGGAGGGGAAATGTCTGCAGGGAGACAGCCCGCTAAGGGCGAAGTGGAACAAGAACTTGACGGGCTGTCCAAAGCCTCCGACCTGCTGCTGACTGACTGACTGACTGACTAGGGGATCGGCAGAAAGAACTAGGAAAGTAGGGTGTGTGTCCGCACACCGGTTGAGCTGTGTAGTCTGCTTTTTAATTAGAGAATTTCAAATCAATCACCGACCAACTTCCTTACTGACAAAGTAGAAGTCAATCCCGAAGAGCAGCGGCTCAGTAGATTGGGTTAGACGTACCGAATGTAAACAAGGGCTTGACGGACAGCTTAACGAAAGCAGCAATCTGAACGTGTCGGCCCTCCTGTATGTGGTGATACATGACGGCTACTGAGCATGAATGTAAAGGTCACAGATTATTCGATGAAAGGAACATCGAACTTCGTAGCTCGAACGTCGATGCTATCGTACGATACGTTTATATACGCTATTTAGCATTTCAGTAAAGTAAAGCGATTCAAACGATAGCGATACAGCTCTTTAGCTACATAGACACCCCAAAAAAAGCTTTTTTTGCATTGTTTAATGGATTTACGACACTCAATGTTTATTCAGCCATGATCTTAGTACCTACATACATTTATATCCATATATTTATAAAGCCAACAAAAAACAATGGGTTCTATGACAACATATGGAAACCAGGGCGGGCGAAGCTGGGAAGAAGTTAGATGCGGGCACCAAATTCAGTTGGGGCTTCTATACGCTCTGCTGCTGCAGGTTGGGCTCTGCATTCCAGAAATTCCTAGTGCTGGTTTCGCCTGCAACAACAAATTGCTGAATCCTTGCCTCCTGACTAAACCAAAGGGCAGCTAGCTAGAGAAAACCTGAGGTTTGTGCATGGCCGAGAAGAAAAAGGCCCTTCTAAGCCAAAAGCTTTGTAACCATTAGTTCTCTATTAGATGATAAGCTGGGGGAGTATCGCGGATGTTAGCTGTGTGCCGTTCACCTCTATGCACAGGAAGGTTCAAGCACGCCCGGGGCCGGGCCGGGTCGGGTCGATCCGGCCATCTAGTAGAAGCAACATGAACGAGTTGCTTAAAACGGTACATTAGATGGCATACGCATAACACAACGTATCATACTGCCTTGTGTTTTCTTAGTTTGCGAGACAGCTGAGAGGTGTGGCAAAATATGGAGAAATGCTCTCGCTGCTGAGGAGATGAGTATGAGCACTTTCGTACGTGGAACAGCAGAAAGTTACCTTACGCAGATATCTTGCAAACCTTGTAGCCGTATCGGCGAGGAAGATAAGGTAGCTTTTCATAGTAGAACAAGAAAAGCAGCACCGGACATAACAGAATTGCAGTGCTAACTTGAATATTATCTAAATACTGGGAATAAGTATCGTTGAAGGTAAGGCACAGAAAATGCTTTGGTTTCGGCATGCTCCACTGGCTGAATGTGCATATGTATACGTTTTATTAATTACACACGTTTACTATCGCTTGACAGGGCACAAAAAGAAACAGCTGAGAAAAAGCGCAGAGTCCTCTATCGTGATACGGACCTTAGCCCCCTGCCGCCCTTCTACTTGGTAATCAGTAATACTGTGTTTTCTCAGTCTGCTAGTCGTGTGATCTTTAATTTAACTTAAGTAAGGGTGCGCAACGTCACGACAACCGTTGTTCTGTCCAATGACTGTGGAGAACAATTCGTCTAAGTAAAAACAAAAGTATAATTGCCCATGCTTTTTGGTCAGGAAAATACTTCCCAGATGTTAATCTATCATTGTTCGCTTCATTATAGCGCTGCTAGACGCAGCGTAACTAGTATTTGGCTCGTATTTTAATTTTAGCAAATTCAAATTGATTGCTGTTAACTAGCTAATTGAACGATGGTGCCTCGCGTCAAGACGTAAATGACCCCGGTAAGCTTTGCACTTCATTCCAAATTACTACTGTATTAAAACCATTTTTATACATTTTACTTTTCTTTTAAACACAAAAGGTAGGTCATGGAAAAAAACATGCCGCCGTGATACCCTGTTAATTTCTTTAGCACTTTCGGCTTACTTGCGCGTAATCCTAACCCGTATATTTGTGTCTCGCAGTAGTCTGCCACGAACAATGGATAAGAACCACTGGTAAAGAAGAAAGCTGTTCCCTTCTAGATGACCATAATTACCCCCCATGCTCGTGGAATCCTGCGCAGTGCAATGGTCATGAAAGCGTTGTGGTACCGCCAGCGATATCCGTTACCTCCACACATGAAAATAATAAATGAAAAAAAATATATTCATACATAAATCTGATTTGTAATGTAGTGGTTCTAATAGTCCCCTTGACTTAAACGTATAACTCATCGGCTACTCAGCTTTGCCTCGGTATCAGGCCTCATAAGATTCTAAGGCCGGCACCTTTTTAGCTGCCATCGGTGGAACAGAGGACGGCTCAAGGGTAGCTTAACTGCAGTAGCTCTAACGAGGTGTTTTGCTAGGCTGACACCATTGTGCAGGGCGGGTAAGTAACTTCGCTGAGCTGTGAAAAAGCTTTTAAGGTTGTGCACAAAGCAGGAAGCTAAACCAAGTTGAAGATGGTTAAGTTGTTGTCTGTTTTCATTTATTTGTTAACAATAACTATTTTGCTCAATGAAGTAATCACATTGTATACTCCTGCCCTAGGCATTGCTCTCGTACTACCTGATGTTACCACGGTCACGAGGTAGACTGATCTATTGGATGAGCAAAAATTCGCTTGTTCTACATGTCTGTGCCCTCCACTGACGAATGCAGTTTTTCTGAACATTGCATAATTTCAACATTATTTTTATAGGACATGGCTTAATAGACATTCTCAAATATATACTCAAATACTCAAAATAACGAAGAGGCATGCTGCCTCTTCGTTATTTTGAGTATACGGTAGTATTGACTATTTAGGTTTTTTTTTCTATATTTATCGCGTTCACCAGATTCTATTTTATGGCCAGAGCATCCATGCAAATATGAGTTTTCTCGTTAATATTTCCTCGTGTCACCTTGCTCAACAACACTTCCGCAAGCACTCCCCTCCTTTAGCCTCTTCCCAGCTCCTGGCTTCGCGCCTACCCCTCTAGTTTAGCGAAATAACGAACGCAATGCAATATGTGCTGGTTCGGTTACCTACTGAAATGATACACACCTTTCGCCTGTGCATTGGCGAGAACGTTTCACCCGCCATCGAACGCCCACCTTCCCCTCGAGATCTGTTCCGTTTCTTATACCGGAAGCCTCTGGTAAACAGTTCGTTTTCGAGTGGCAAAACGCAAACGACTTCTCTATTGGCGCGCGTCGACAACGTCTCGTACCAAAGCAGCTGTGTATGTCTGTGTATGTTCCATCCCACGTACGAAGAAACACACAACGCAGCAGAGACAGATAGAAATTTATATTTACATATTCGAATAGGCTTGCTCTACGTATGCCTTACTTATAAAATTCAGGATACAGAAAATGCGTTTGCGTACGAAATTCGAAAAACGGTTTGGAGGTAGCCACCGCAAATATCATAGAGCATATTATTCACCAGTGTTTGTAATTCGTTTCGCATTAATTTGTTTCTAAATCGCTATAATTCACAATACCATCGCATAATGCGGGCTTAGGTGGCTATTCTTGATCTCCCCGTAGAGCCGCGTTGACTATTTTTAACCTCTAGGTAATAGCAATAAGGCCACCTTTGTAGGGAAACATGGGCTCACAGCAGGCAAACATATGCAGCAGTAAGAAATGTTTGCCTTTTTCTCTCCTAGGAGACCCCTTCGCCCCGTCTAGTCCTTCTGGGTGGTTTTCATTCGCATCCGGGTCATGTGACATCATAAAATTGTTGTAATGACCCCATTGACTAGAACAGGTGGTAACTATCGGAGCCTCGTTCGTTTGCGAGACTACAGGGAAGCAACGAATGTCGTACATCATTCGCACTGCAGGCTTCTGCTAGTTTTCGCCTTCTCCCACGACACCATCGAGGCCAAGGCTACCGGCCGATATTTATACCAGAAGCCATCGTCGTTGTTGCGCTGCATCTGTTGTTATTATTCTGTTCGTCTCCATAGCTGTACAGCTCTGCAGCTTTCTATCGCTGGACATCGTTGGTGGCGCATTGGACTGAAGTATCACGTCGGTGTGCGTCGATTGCCATAGCAACCACTGTTGTCACTTCTATCAATACCACAACGATGAGATTTCGTATTTTACCCTGAGATCGTACCGGCGTCGAGTTAAATGCAGGAAAAGAAAAACTGTTACGTTCCGCCGTTGTTTTTGTTGCATGAATAGCGTAAAATTTCCGCGAAACCATTTATGTGAGAGGCGTAAGTGGGAGGGGTTAGAACTGTTTTTTTCCACGTACGTTTTTTCGAACCTTCATTTCTCTATCGTCGGGAACGGTTAAAGCGCTATTTCTGTGACGTTTGCTCCCTTCCCGCTGTCGCCGGCTGGGGTATGACAATGCTATAATGCGTTGTTCTCGGTTAGCCTGTATCGTCCCCCAATGCCACTCTCGTTCGCCTACTAAATTTACTACACTCTCTGTCCCTCTCTTCCTTGGTATTCTAGCTGGCAATTTCACACGTCGTTGTCATTGCCAAAAATACAGAGACAGGCTGACCCAGAAGCGCGACCAGTCTGTGCCAGATAAGTGCGCTCGTGCTTGCGTGAACATATACGAAAGAAACCTGTGCTAGAACTGTAGCGGAAGTTAATAATCGTACTGGTACTCACGAAACTGCTGCTGATGCTCTTGGCACTAGTTGCCAGCTAATGTTTTCCGCCTCGCCGACGTCAAAGGATCTCACCTTTCGGCGGTAAAAGTACTTCGTATGCAGTGCCAGCTACCCGCGTGGCAGACCCCTACTTAAACCTGACGGGTTGCATCAATCGTACTAGCGTTAGCGGAGCACCGAAGGCGGCTAGGAAGATTGGTAGGGGGAACGGACGTCTGCTGTGAATTTCGAACAGGAATCACGCCGTAAAGCAGGGCGCGGAAATCGAATAAGCAGCCGATAGCAGAACTAGGAGGAAGTAGCTTATTTAGGAATTTGAAAGAATTCTAACGGTAGGATTAGAATTGCGAATGGATGGCAAGAGACCTGTATTCACTGTCAGGAGAATATAGCCTTCATACAAGGAATATCTTTGTTGACTCTGCAAGACCTACTCTGCATGAAAGATTAAAAGAGCTCTTATTAAATAGTATCACAATATATCAATAGAAACGTGCAGTCTGTATGTTTATAATTATAGTGTATATATATGTGTAACTGTAGTGTTTCTAGTCTAGTCATCCAGAGATATTATGACAGACATTAAAGGATCATAACAACTCCGATACGCGAAACACTTGCAGTAAAATACCGTATGATGTGATAGGTGATATAACGCGTAAGCGACTCTGTACAGCCCGTTTTCCCTTGTAATTACAAATATGAAATTAGAGACTTTAGATCAAAGCCGGTATGCGTCAAAACACACTGAAATGGAATACGTTAGCATTAAGCTTAGCTACGACAATCTAACTCACGAAAAAATGCTTTTTGTGTCGGCAGACGTATGCTTAGTAACTTGTTCAGGCTGCCATTTGCGAAAGGCAGGTAGACACTGATCAAGTAACTACATGCTAGTGGCTGGCGGATAGCTGTGTTCGACAAGTTCAGAGCACTTACTTACTGATGGACAAGTCGAGGTAAGCTCGCATGACTGCCCTCTGCAGGCTACTGATTTTGTCAATACTCCCGTAAACATACAAACATAGCTTTTATATTCTCCTCCGCTGTCTCAAAATGCGTGTTCGCTCGTCATCGACGATTATATGTCTTTGCTATGCACCATTCATAGATTCTCTAACAGCCTCCCTCCTCCGACCGCTAGAGTCTATCCGGTCGAGAACATCCGCAGTGATCGAATAAAAGGTTAAAGGATGTTTCGTTTTTCTCCGCATTTCATATTCCCCAGTAAACGCATCCATGGACGGAGATCACACAGTTATGAGGACCATACTACCGCGCAGCGACTCGGCTCATGTTCGTCGAACTTACGACGATCGACTTGGCCGGCTGCAGCTTCGAGAGCAGTGCTTTAGCATTTTTGACTATACCCCCATAATAGCACGACAGTAATGTATTTGTCCATTAAATTTAGGGACATGTGGGGTGATGTAGGTTCGATAGCACACACGTACATACCTGGTTTCGTACTGGGCGGACTAGCTCTTCTGAAACACTACCTAACTAAGCTAGCATCAAGCGTAAAACTCGAAGCTCTTATATTCGCAGTACGAGCATCAGTAGCACTGGGAAGTCCCGTGACTCAAACAATGGCACTTTGCATTGCTGCAGCAACGACGGCGGCGGCGGCGGCACTGATGCCTACACGCCTGTCTCCATCATTCTTGAAGTTTGTTTTGTCATGGAAATAATAATATTTACATCTCCCTACTGATCGGAACTCTCTTTGTTAAGCGCTTCGTCTCCTGCCATATTTATCTATCCATTTGGTCGTCTTTCCTTCAGAGGAAGGAAAATGGGAAGGAGCCATTAGATAAGCAAGGGTCAATCGCTATCAATGGCGACGCCAGAACCCACTAAACTCTAATAGCTGAGCATAGTCCGGTGCTGCGCGGTGGGCCTGCTCTTCTCGTAAGGTTGTAAGAGGTTCAACCAGCCGCCCGACCACCCCGACCTAACCTGATTGCTTGTCCACCGAATCCAGTCAGTGTAGGCCGCTCGATCCCCTCGCCACAACCCCTGTTGCTCCTAAAAGTTGACCGCTTGGCTGTTTCGAGTTGCACGCAGTTGATCACAACTCTATGCACCTCTATCTACAATAGATAGACCGTTTCCATGGTGGTTCGACTGCCTTCACCACCACCTATGCTACTGCGGCTGGCGGGTCTGGACTGCCAGCAACGCAATGGCTGCTGTTACAGAAGCTCTTCAAAGCTGGCGAGCGATATTGGATGAGTTGCATGCTCCGAATGTAAAAACTGAGAAGGGAACAAAGGAAGAGCTAGGCTGAGTAGAAAATAACGGGCGATTGAGAAATGACGTGGCGAAGAAGCGTTTTCTTCATGAATAGCTATCAGCAACGAAAATGAGTGAGAGGGGGAAAGGAATGATAGCTGGAAGAACTGGATGGAACAGAAATACGATTGCCGGCTGAAGGCCATCGAGCGACGGATGAATAGCTCAAGTGAGTGGTACTGCTGTCCTCCTCCCGCTGCTGTGGTGAAGACGAACAGGAATGGCAGGGAAGAAGAGACGACGGCCAACGGGGTAAAACCGACGAACGGGACAAAAGGACCAAGGCGACAAGGAAAAGGAGGAACCGCCACTATAGCAATACCAGCACTAGTACCGTTGACTGTAGCATCTTTGAGTTGCAATCTCAGTTCGACGAAGATGGCTCTCGCCACTACTCAGACAAGAAGAGGGGAGTTAGGTGGAAAATGGCAGGAAGACAGACCATTGCTGCTCCGCCTAGCCTCCCTGGTTGCTCCCGTTTGTCTCCCTTTGTTCCCGCCTCCTTTGTTTGCCTTTACCAACCCTTACCCCTCCACCCCGCCTCCTGGTGCTTTTCTACTTCAATCTGTCCAAAGAAAAACAAGCCACCAACCTAGATTCACTATACACTAGAACAACTTTCTCGCTCGCTAGAAGTATGCAGGACGCCTCACAGGCGAGTGGGAAGAGTTGTTGGTCGAGTGGACGCTGGCACACGCTGGAAAAGCCCTGAAGGAAGGAGTGCGCGACTATAGTAGTTGTAGTGTATCGAGGTACGATAGCGAGAGGAAGAGATACAGATTTGGGGAAGGCAACGGCAGACGATGAGAGAAGTACGCTCGAGTTTGTTTTTGTCCGGAAGAAGAAAGATGGAAGGGGTGGATGCGGAAGAGTTCTTGATGTGCTGGACTCGAATGGACAGTGCGGTTTGTGAACACTTCAGATGAAACGGGAAGGTCGTAGCAGGAGCAGGGGTCTCGCTATGCATGTTTCCTTGCATAGTGGTTGCCCCGCGACTAAGACTATTATCTCTGCTATCCGCTACTCGCATTTTGTTAGTCTTGACAGTGTACAAGGTCGCTAACCTGCTTCTTGTGAAAAAAATGCCTAGGTAACCGGATGGCGAAAGAAGACGTCTTACGAGTTTTGTTACTGATCATAGACAGGCAAACAAAAGGACGACTAGAAGAGGACAATTCATAAGTATCTGACCTACTTGCAACCGCTTGTGCTGATCGAAAATGTTTATCGAGCTATAATCTCGTCCGGGTTGAAAAACAGCTCTATTAAAAAAGTTCGGAGACAGACACTACCACGTCCGTTAGACGACTGCTGAAGGGTAATAGTTTGAACTTCAGTTCAATCCATTCAGAGTAGAAAATGTTTAACACAAATATAATTGGGACCTTCTTTCAGATTAGACTGGTCCTAACATTTCCGCAGTAGGAGAAAATAGCCGATTTCACTTGTTGCCTTCAAGTTCTGGGATGTATCTGGTAAGTACCAGTTCGCCCGCTTTTTCGTTCAAGACACAAGGCGCACTTTGAGGCACGATTTTTTTTTACATCAATGAATTCATTCATCCAAATTGAAGATACGCTAAAAAAGGACTTGCATTGTCTATGTAATTAAGAAACATAGAGAAGCTTCCGTTTCACAATTCGACGACATATACCGTAAGTACGTACTTAAGAAGATAGAGATGGCTCTTACAGCAGTTTACTTTCTTGGAGTCTATATACATATCCAGTGGCTAGAAGGTTTCACCGACTTTTAAGATCGCTTCGAGCGTGTGCTTTTAGGAAGTCAAAAGGCAAAAGAAAGGCCGTGCGAGATGCAAGAATACTAAGAGATGCTCGCCTTGCTAGGGACTAATCTTCCACAAGAATACCTCGTGAAGCCCTTCTACGGAGATGTCCTTCGTCTATACTGAGCGCTTAAAACATTCACTTTCTTCGTTAACCAATCGTTGAGAGAGACCCCGCTGCAAACCAAATATATCGCTGAATCGTATGCAGGGGGTACATTCGCCACTCGTTGACCGAATTGGCGTCGGCCAAAATTGCCGCCGATGACACGGTTCGGATGCGTCTATACCCCAGATTGTCTCGCGAGTCAAGTGACTGGGGGTACCGTATTGCGGACAGTAAAGGAAAGCGTTTGGAAGCGAAGTATTTTTTGTGTCAGCCATGCGGGCCGCACAAAGGGAGGTGTACGTGTCAAATTCCCAAAAGAGCAAAACGAGACGAAGGAACGAGAAACGAACGCCGCAAAAAAGACGGTACAAGAGTCTAAGATATTCAAATTCAATTCAGAATGACGGCGCCGAGGAGGAAACACAGATGTGAAAGAAGGCGATACAATAAAATTTGTCCCACGCTCGAGTCCAAGTGTTCTCTCGAAGAAAAAAAAGTAACCGCTGAATACAATACCGGACAGAACGAAATCGATATACATAGTTTCATAGTTTTCATGCGCCTATCCTAGATAGAAAGTAGATGGCCTCGTCGTACGCCTAGTATATATCGGTGTTGTAGCACACTGTTACTAACTGCAGTGATACTTATGGCTGACTTGGTTACATTATCTGCACTTCTTACTATGACAGTTAAGATTTGATTGTAGGAAGTGCCTTTTTTTTTTTTGAATGGATTGCATCAAGCCTATGCTATGGAACCGGTAGTTGAGCCTGAAAGGCGCATGAGGTACCCAAGTTGTCTAGAAATATTAAGCGCTAGTCTAGCTTATACTGCGTGTGTATACGAAAAATGTACTGATGGGAAGAACCAGAAGAAGAATCGCTACTTGAAATCGATTCGTTTCTGTATATACATGCTGTAAATCGTTTATATAGAAAAGAATGCTATTTAGTTGGATATTTCGATTCTTTCACGTAACTTCATAGATACCGGTAGCCGATGGAGTAATGCCGGCTGCATCACCGGAAGCTAGAAAAAAAAAAAAGCTGCATTTCTCGCACCGTTGAGCTGGTAGAGAAATAACCAGCTTAAATTGACATTCATTGTACCAGTGAGTGACTTAGCTGACCAGCTGGTCGCCACTATGCAGCTCACTGATGTGTGATTAATACAAGGGCGCATCTAAAAGTCCTTATTCACTGAAACGTAGAAGAT